TCACTGTCCACTCTGCCTGTCAAAAAAAAAAAAAAAAAAAAAAAAAAAAAAGAGTCTGTGATCTGGGGTTGGCACTACAGCACAGTGGGTTAAAGCCCTGGCCTGAAGTGCCGGCATCCCATGTGGGTGCCGGTTTGAGTCCCAGCTGCTCCAATTCTGATCTAATGCACCTTGGAAAGCAGCAGAAAATGGCCCAATTCCTTGGGCCCCTGCACGCACGTGGGAGACCCAGAGGAAGTTCCTAGCTCCTGGTTTCCAATCAGCACAGCTCTAGCTGTTGCAGCCCTTTGGGCAGTGAACCAGCAGATGGAAGACCTCTCTCTCTGGCTCTACCTCTCTATCTGTAGCTCTGTCTTTCAAATAAATAAAACAAATCTTTAAAAAAAATCTCTTTTAAAAAAAGAGTCTGTGGTCCAACCTTAAATTAAGATATACAAATCCAAAAGGTTCTTTAAAATGTGTTCTTATGTATGATTATCTGATAGGAACTATGACAAAGGACTCTGCCAGGACTGCAGCCTCTACAGAGGTCTACCTGTTGAAAAGATGGACTTGGAGTTAGAAAGGTGCCAGGGGATTCCAACACAATTCCATCAAAGTGGCATGTACCAATACCATCTCACTAGTCCAAGTGATCAATTTCATTTCACAATTTATCACACTGATAGGTCTAAGAGTCAAAGGGATCACACAAACAAGACTAGTGTCTGCTAATACTAACTGATGGAATCAAAAAGGAAGAGAACGATCCAACATGGGAAGCGAGATACACAGCAGACTCATTGAATGGCAGATGTCCTAAATAGCACTCTGGCCTCAGAATCAGCCCTTAAGGCATTCAGATCTGGCTGAAGAGCCCATGAGAGTATTTTAGGCGTGGAAAGCCAAGACACCCTGGAAAAAAAAGACCTAAATGAAAGATCTCTGCGAGTGAGATCCCAGTGGAAAGAACAGGGCCATCAAAGAAGGAGGTACCTTTCTCTGAAGGGAGGAGAGAACTTCCACTTTGACTATGACCCTGTCGGAATAAGATCGAAGTCAGCGAAATCAAAAGGCTTCCATAGCCTTGGCAGCTCAAAACTAGAGCCTAGGGAGATTACTGACACCATAAACAAGAGTGTCAAATTGTTAAGTCAACAACAGGAGTCACTGTGTACTTACTTCTCATGGGGGATCTGTCCTTAATGTGTTGTCCAATGTGAAGTAATGCTATAACTAGTACTGAAACAGTATTTTACACTTTGTGTTTCTGTGTGAGTGCAAACTGATGAAATCTTTACTTAATATATACTAAATCAATCTTCTGTATATAAAGATAATTGAAAATGAGTCTTGATGTGACTGGAATGAGAGAGGGAGCGGGAGATGGGAGGGGTGCGTGTGGGAGGGAAATTATGGGGGGGGAGCCATTGTAATCCATAAACTGTACTTTGGAAATTTATATTTACTAAATAAAAGTTAAAAAAATGGACTTGGAAAGGTGAAGTTTTTATAGAAGTTTTTAGAGCCTGAGAACAGCCTACACCATGTGGATAGACAACAATGCAGCCATATCCAACAGGAGGTAAAGAGAAGATAGCTCAGCCAGTGGAAGCTGGGGACAAAAGAAAATGCCAAACATGCCTGCCATCCTCCCCTGGAAGGGATGGCAGATAGACGACTGTACTTTTGCCCACATAAGATGCGTACAACTTGATGTCTACAAATCCCCTTGTGGACTGAACAGCTTTGCAAATGTGACCAACCTATGGGCTTGAATGTGCAGCGAGTTGCCTGCCAGCCCTGCATCTCAGCTACCTCAGAAGGTAGCCACAGCCACTGACTATACTACAATGGACTTGGTTAACAAACTTCCCTTGGACTCATCTAGAGACTTTAGTTCGGGTGCAATATAATGAAAGTCAATAATGGTTGGGGGTATTTTGTGTTGTATCTTATGCTTATGCTTTCTCATCATAACTTGCATTGTTGTTATGGTTGTAATGTTCCACACCCGTTGTGTACTCCTGGCCCCACACTGAGATCTCTTCAGAGGAGGAATCAAGCCTAGATTATATGGCAAGAATACTTGAAGTGGTAGAGTGTTGAGAAGATGAACTTGGGAAGATGAAGGTTTCAAGTTCCCACACCTTTATGCCCCTGCACCATTTTCTATGGACATCAATGGCAATCAATGTCCTGGTAACCAAAATGCCCACCTGCTTGGGTAGCTGCCCACAAACTTGTTACATAAGGGCTAATATTGTCTGTAAATCCACTGTGCAACAGGGTGGTACACCTAAGCATGGGTGTTTGTGGATGGTTTTATTGGTAGACGTGGTTGTATGTGAATATATGGGTTTTGTTTCTGTCTCAGGATATATATAGATATATCTTGTTTATTTCTCAGTTCCAGTCTGATTTAAAGAGATATAAACTCATAAACAACTACAAGTTGTTATCTGGGTGTTCAAGTTCCATCTCAGCCCCAGACTCAGATACTGGTTTCAGCTTCCTGATAACATGCAGCTTGTGAGATAGCAAGTAGTTGAATGCCTGCTGCTCACATGAGTGATCTGGATTGGTTTCCCAGCACTTGGAAGCTGCCCTGGTCATTGCAGGCATTTGGGGAGTACATGAAATGATGTAGCTAACTCTGTCCACTCTTAAATAGTAAGTAAATAAATTACTAATAAAAAAATTCAGCATTATTGTCAGTTAATCATTACACAACAAACTGATTACTGATGAAAAATTTAATAGAAATTATTTAAGGCAGTGTTTTTTTAATGCATTTATTTATTTATTTATTTATTTGAAAGGCAGAGTGACAGAGGGAGAGACCAAGAGATCCTTTGTCCACTGGCTCATCCCCCCATATACCTACAACTGGATGGGTCATGGTAAAGTCAGGAACCAGACATTCCATCCTGGTTTCCGGTATGCGTGGCAGGAACCCAACTAAATGTGCTATCACTACCTTCCCAGGTGCATTAGCAGGGATTTGGGTCAGAAGTGGGGCAGACAGGACTCACACTGGCACTCTGATATGCTGACATTACTACACTGCAACTCTGACTTCACAACAGAAATTTCAAAAATACATTCATTATGGCACAGCAAGATAAGCTTCCACTTGCAACACAGACATCCCATATCAGAGAGCTAGTTAAGGTGCAGTCTGGTGCACTTCCAATCCAGCTTGCTGCTACGTACCTGGGAAGGCAACAGAAAATGGCTCAAGTGCTTGAGCTCCTGCCACTCATGTGGGAGTCTCAGATGGAGTTTCAGGCTCTTGGCTTTGGCCTACACCAGGCTGACTAGTGGGACCATTTAGTGAGTAAATCAGTGAATGGAAGATCTCTCTCTCTCTGTCTCCTTCTTTCTTTCATTCTGCTTTTCAAACGAATAAATAAAAGTTTTAAAAATACACATATACACACACATACATACATACATAAACCTTTAAAAAAATCACTTCATTGATGTATGATACAAAAATAGGGTGCATATTTCGTATAGTTATCTTGCAGTGTTTTGTGATAAATATACACCTGTGACATTGCTACCACATTCAAGGCCATAATCATATCCATCATATTTTGAAGTTTCCTCCCACTCTCTTCACAATTTTCATTAGTGTTTTGTTGTTTTTTTGTAAGAATATATAAGCTTGACTCTCTTAGCAACTTTAGTTGTTTAAACATTATTGCTATAGTTTGGATATTGGTTTGTGTGCCTCCCAGAGGGCCATGTGTTAAAGCTTGGTCCCTAAAGCCCTTAGGTTAATGGTCACTGAATTGATATTCATGACTAGTAGATTATCAGATTTGAACCTGCTATGGTGGTTAGAAGGTGGGTCTCATGGTATTTAGCAAGTGGGCCTAGTGGAAAATGCTTATATCTTTGGAGGCATGCTCTGCAAAAGTACTTCTCATGAGAGAATTGGTTGAATAAACCTGAGTCTAGCCTAGGCACTCTTTCACTGTGTCCTGGATTAACATTTGATAGTTCTCATATATTCTGCCATCTTCCAGCATCCCAAGATCGTTGAACCAATGAGGCCTGCCCAAATGTGAACTGTGAATCTCTGAAATCATGAGCCCAACCAAATAAACCTCCTTGCTTCATAAGTAGCTTCTATTAGGTAGTTTGTTATAGTAATGAAAGGATGGTTATCACAGTGTTTCAGTTGTAAGCACTATGTTATATAGTAGATCATCAATATCATTAGCTATTTGTTTTGTTTGGATATTAATCTCTTATCAGACATATAATTACAAATATTTTCTCTCATTCTGTAAGTTGTCTTTTCATTACACTGATGGGCTTCTTTGATCTGCAGATTCTTTTTAGTTTGATGTAATGCCACTTGCTTAGTTGTGCTTTTGTTGTCCCATCCAAATACCACTGTCAAGACCAATGTCAAGGTACATTTCTCCTATGTTTTCTTCTAGGAGTTTATTATTTTGGGACCCTTGATAAACTCTTGAATCCATTCATGTTGATTTTTGTGTGTGTGATGGAAGGCAAAGTACATTTTTTTCTTTTGCAAATGAATACCCAGTTTTCCCAATATCATTCATGGAATGGATTATCCTTTATCTATTGTGTATTCCTGGTGTCCGTTTCTAAAATCAGTGTGTCTGTTTATTTCTGAGATTTTTATTCTGTTCCATTGCTCCATATTGTGGGGAGCAACTGGGAGCAACTCGGACTAGACTAAGTTACTGGAATTAAGACTCATTTTATGCATCTGCTCTCCCACAATATGGCACTGGGAGAGGAGGAAACAGCTTCTACACAGCTGCCTCCAGTTCAACCAATAAACAGCAGGACCTGCTCCTGATTGGAGGAGAGCAGCGTACTCGGCGTGTGGGTAGCAGAGTTGGGATTGGTGGAAGAGGACTATAAAGGAGGAGAGAGACAATATGCACCAGGAACATCTATCTGAAGGAACACCTGTGCAGCCCCCGAGAGAGCCGGCCGGCGGTGTGCCGCTCCCCCGCGAAGTGGGGAAAATGGCAGGGGGAACCGCCCTTCCACGGAGGTGGAAGGGTCGGTAGCCAACCCGGGAAGAACCAGCAGCAAACCCGGGAAGGGCCGAGCAGACAAAAGAACAGCGCAGGGTCCTGTGTCGTTCCTCCACAAAGAGGGGGAGCGACACATATGTCTACTTTTATGGATGTACTTTGTGGTCTTGTTTATTATAGTTTTGTAATATAATTTGAAATCAGTTATTGTAAAGCCTCCAGCTTTGTTCCTCCAGTAGACTGCTTTGGCTGTTTGGTATCTTTTGTTGCTCCACATGTATTTCAGGATTTTTGCTCTCCTTGTGAAAAATATCATTGTTTTTTGATAAGCATTGCATAAATCTGAAGATTATTTTGAGTAGTATGCGCATTTTGACTATATTGATTCATCCAGTTAATGAACATGGGATATCTTTTCATTTTTTGTTAGATACAATTAATTTAATTTTATTTTATTTAACTTTAATTTCTTTCATTAGTGTTTTAGTTTTCAACATACATGTCTTTTAATTCATTGGCTAAAATTACACTTAAGTATTTTGCTCTTCTTTGCAAAGAGATTTATTTATTCATTTGAGAGGCAGAGCAACAGAGTGAGAGGTAGACACACACACACACACACACACACAGAGTGAGAGAGAGAGAGAGAGAGAATCTTTCATACGCCAGTTCACTACCAAATGGCTGCAACAGACAGGGATAGTCAGGCTGATACCAGGATCCAGGAACTCCATCCTGGTCTCACACATTGGTGGCAGGGGCCCAAGTCCTTGGCCCATCATCTGCTGCCTTCCAGTCACATTAACAGGAGGCTAGATTAGAGGGAAAGCCGGAAGTGGCATTGGGGCACCATGGGCTAAGCTGCAGCTTTAAATACTAGCATCCCATGCGGGTGCAGGTTCAAATCCCAGCTGTTCCACTTCCAATCTAGCTCCCCACTGATGCACCTGGGAAAGAAATGGAAGATGGCCCAAGTTCTTTGGCCCTACACCCATGGAGGAGAGCCAGAATGAGCTCCTGGCTCCTGGTTTCAATCTGGTCCAGCCCTCACCTTTGCAGGCATTTGGGGAATGAACCAGCAAATGGAAGATCTCTCTCTTTCTGTCTCTCTGTCTCTCCCTCTATCTGTCTGAAACTCTGTATTTCAACTAAATAAAATAATTTAAAAAAAAAGAAGCAGAACACCTAGGACTCCATTCAGGAACTTCTGTATGTGATGTTGGCATTGCAAGTGATGGCTTTACCTGCTATGCCACAGCATCAACTCCTACATTATTCTTTTGTATGCCATTGTAAATGTTATTATTTTCTTAACTTATTTTTCAGTTTGTTATTAATGTATAAAAATATAAATGACTTTTCAGTGTTGATTTTGTATCCTACAGCTATACTGAACTTGTTTATAAATTCTAATATGTTTTCAATGTCCTTAAGATTTTCTATACATGAGATTGTGATATTAGAACACAGAGGCAATTTTATTGTACATATGGAAAAGAAGTTATTTGAGCTATATCAGGAAAATATAAAGCTACCAAGATGCAGAAAGGATAAACAGTTGGACAGGCATGCCAAATATTGTAAGATTATCAATTTTCTCAGAATTAGTCTATTAATGGAATATAGTCCCAATTAACCCCAGGCTTATTGCGGCTCAATTCACAATAGCTAAGATATGGAATCAACCCAAATGTCTATCAGCTGAATTCTAGATAAAGAAATTATGGGATATGTACACCATGGGACGCTACACAGCAATAAAAAAATGAAATCCTGTTGTTTGCAGCAGACTAATGAAACTGAAAAACATTATACGTAGTGAAATAAGCCAGTCCCAAAAGGACAAATACTATAAAGTTCTCACTGATCTATAGTAACTAATAGAGCTCCTAAAAGGTAAAAAAAAAAAAAAATCCCAATAAGTTACACTTTATTCAAAATGTTTAAATATCCTAATTATGCTTTAAAATTTCAAAACATAAATTCATGAACACAGTAGAATAGAAATTCAGGTATATTAGGGATTATTAAAAGGGGAAAAGTACTGATTCATAACCACCTCTATCAAATGCTTGATATCACTTAGAGTGACAGAAGTTACAACAGTAAGTTGCCAGCACAGACAAGGACAAGCGAGTCAAATCATTTGCTGAATAATTTGTTATGAGTATGCAGGAATTGTTTCCCCAAAGTTCATGCAGCTATTTACACAGTGATGTCTTAATGGTTATGGATTAGGGGTAGAGATTGATCTAATTGTGGTGGGTGGGAGGTAGTGCTAATGGGAGCTCTTTGGGTCCTTGGGGGAGTCTCCTTCAAGGGTGGGTCTCAAGAAAGTTTTGATCATTTGAGTTCAGGTTCTGCATAACTGTTGTGTCTCCCCTTTCATTGTGGTCATGCTTCCACACCCATGAGCAACCTCCATTCATGATGAACTGCGGGACAACTGGATCCTGTCACCTCCAGCTGTGAGCTGAAAGAAACCTTTTCTTTCCCAAAGAAGCTCCTCTCAGGTATTGTAGAGAAAGTAAGGAAAAGTGTAGTAATACATATCCTCAGTTATTTGGATTTATTTCTGAAGCAGAATTAAACTCTAGGGGAGCAAAAATGTCACACCTACTTGAGAGAAACATATATGAAGGGTAACATGACATTTCATATTAGTTAAAAATCATTGTTTTCAACAGAAGATATTGAAGTAACTGGTTATATTTGAGAGAAAATTTGGCTGGTTTTCCCAGGATTCCTCCTGCCAAATTGTAGGCAATTTCCCAAAGGGAAAATCCAAATGACTAACATAAGGAAGTGCCCAGCATTTCTTATATTAAGAAAATACACATTAAAAAAATTTAGCACTTTTATCCATGATATTAGAAAGATTGTTACATGACTAAATTGTATATAGTGCAGATAAGAGTCTGAAATTGAAAAGCCTCAAAGAACAACTTGAGAGTATCTTGTAAAGTTGCTGATGTGCATAGCTAAGATCCACCAACTCTACTGTGGGACAGATTTTAGAAACCTGTTGTGATGAAATACATGTCAACATCATGAATTGTGGAGTATCCAGATTAGACATTACTTCTTGGTGTGTCTGTGAGGTTGTCTTTGAATGAGATTAGACTTTGAATCAGCAGAATTAAAAGTACATTGCTCTCCTCAAAGTGGTTACGTGTCATCCAATCCATGGAGGTTTTGAACAGAACAAAAGCAGAGGAAAGAAAAATTCGCCCCTTTTGCTTCCTGCCTGCTTTTCTGAGCTGAGACTGGTTTCCTCGCCTTTAAACTGAGACTGGCACTACTTGCCCTGTGGGTCTCTGAATTTTGGATTTAGGTTGGAATTACATCATCAGCTGTCTTGAGTCTCCAGTTCCTGATGGCAGATTGTGGGACATCTTGGACTCCATAATTGTGTGTCAATTCTTTGTAACAAATCTCTTCCTGTTTGTGTCCTATTCATTGTGTTTCTCTAGAGAACCCTGACTAATATTCCCTCACATACATGCGTACTATGAGACATACAGGAATATTTTTAAAAAGATTTTTTGTTTAGCTATTTATTTGAAAGGCAGAGTGACAAAAAAAAATCATGAGCCAGGAGTCCAAGTACTTCAGTCATCTTCCCAGACACAGTAGCAAGGGGCTGGATGGGCAGTAGAGCAGCTGGGTCTGGATCAGCACTCCAGTATGGGTTGCTTGTATCACAAGCATTGCACCACAATGACAACCCCATGCAGAAATGTTAATAGCAATACTCCTCGTAAAATAAAAAGCTGGATGCTCATCAACAGAATGGATAATTACACTGTGTTGTGCTCATAGAATGAGATAGCTTTCAGGCCAGCGCCGCGGCTCACTAGGCTAATCCTCCGCCTAGCGGCGCCGGCACACCAGGTTCTAGTCCCGGTCGGGGCGCTGGATTCTGTCCCGGTTGCCCCTCTTCCAGGCCAGCCCTCTGCTGTGGCCAGGGAGTGCAGTGGAGGATGGCCCAGGTGCTTGGGCCCTGCACCCCATGGGAGACCAGGAAAAGCACCTGGCTCCTGGCTCCTGCCATCGGATCAGCGCGGTGCGCCGGCGCAGTGCGCCGGCCGCGGAGGCCATTGGAGGGTGAACCAACGGCAAAGGAAGACCTTTCTCTCTGTCTCTCTCTCTCACTGTCCACTCTGCCTGTCCAACCTGTCCAAAAAAAAAAAAAAAAAGATAGCTTTCAAAGGTATGAATGATGTATAAATAATCAACATGAGAAGACTTCAAAATCTGCTGGATTTTTAAAAAGCAAATTATACAAAACTAAGTTTTTGATAAGACATTTAGTAACTCATAAAATACATTTTGCTTTTTTTAGCAGTTTTATGGCAATACCACTGATGCACAATGAACTGCACATATTTAAAGTATATAATTTTATGGTCTTAGTCTACAGTATGCCATTCTAACTATCACCACAATCCAGAGGGTGGACCATCTATCACACACACAGTTCCTTGAGTTCTTTTGTAATCTATGCTGTCTCTTCCCAGCTCTGGCACATCCTCAAAGAATCACTGATTATTTTGTCAAAATAATTTTCTTTGCATTTCCCAGCACTTCTTCCCTCAGCATCATTGTTTTAGGGTTAATCATGTTTTTGGATTCGTTGCTCATTTTGTTTTATTGCAAGTAGTATCCCCCCATATAGATTTATCACAATTTGTTTGTTAACCCCCATTGACACAATATTGATTGTTTATTACAAAGAAAGGTGCTATCAACAATCCTATACAACTCAAGTGGATTTGTGCTTCCATTTCTCTAGGAATGAGACTGCTATGTAATGTGGAAGATGAAGTCGTAACTATTTAAGGACCAGACAAAATGTTCTCCCAAATCATTACATATCTGATCAAAATTCTTTCCCATGTCTTAATTGGATTGTCTTCTTATTGAGTTTTAAGAACTCTGAAGATATTCTAGATCCCAGTGCACTGGTAGATACATGTTAGATACATGTTTTGAAAAACACTTTCTCCTAACTGGTGGCTGGACATGTCATTTTCTTTTTTATTTTTATTTTTATTTTTATTTTTATTTTTATTTTTTTGACAGACAGAGTGGATAGTGAGAGAGAGAGACAGAGAGAAAGGTCTTCCTTTGCCATTGGTTCACCCTCCAATGGCTGCCGTGGCCGGCGCACTGCGCCGGCGCACCACGCTGATCCGATGGCAGGAGCCAGGTACTTATCCTGGTCTCCCATGGGGTGCAGGGCCCAAGCACCTGGGCCATCCTCCACTGCACTCCCTGGCCACAGCAGAGAGCTGGCCTGGAAGAGGGGCAACCAGGACAGAATCTGGCGCTCCAACCGGGACTAGAACCCGGTGTGCTGGCGCCACAAGGCGGAGGATTAGCCTAGTGAGCCGCAGTGCCGGCCAGTCATTTTCTTAATTGTTTTTCAAAGAGAAAATATTTTCATTTTGTATGAAGCCAAATTTATCGATTTTTCCTTTTGAGTTCATGATTTTTATATTTTTTGTAGAAATTTTCTTTTAATTATTTTTAAAGACAGGGTTAGAGAAGGTGGAGGGAGGGAGAGAGTAAGAGTGAGAGAGAGACAGAGACAGAGAGACAGAGAGACAGAGAAACAAAGAGATCGATCTTCCATCAGTTGGTTTACTCCTCAAATGGCTGCAATGACTAGGGCTAGACCAGACCAAAGTGAGGGGCTAGGAGTTCTTCCAGCTCTGCCACCTGGGTGCAGGGGCCCAGTGATTTGGGCTATCTTCTACTTCTCTCCCAGGCACATCAGCATGGAGCTGGATTGGAAGTGGAGCAGCCAGGACTCGAACTGGCACACATATGTGAGGCTGGCCTTGAAGGTGGCAGCTTTACCTGCTGTGCCACAATGCCAGCCCCACTTTTTGTATTCTATTTAAGACATGTTTGCTTAACCTGAAATCTCTAGTGCATTAAATCTGTTGGTGTAAAAATAGAGGGTTAAATTTCTTTATATGTGTAAATGAGTGAGGCAATGCTTAGACAAGTTATTTTCAGTGGAACAAAAGCAGTACTGATTCTGTTTACTACCCCAAGTCAAGTAATAGTGCATATATTGTAGCAAAGAGGGGTTTATTTTGTTAAACCATCAAATATGATGGAAGAAAATACAAGACAAAGCTTTGACTAGATGTAAAGATGTTACAGGAAGTTTGAGTTTTCTAACTGTTGCATTCTTATATTTAGCTTCAGAGGCCAGTAGCAGGATTTGTGTCTCAGTAGACTGCAATATGTTATAGATTTGGGATGAGTTGACCCTATGCAACTATGACTTATCCATGCTCATCAGTGGAGGAGGTGTGACCATCCAGCCACATAAAAGGGATTATGGTGTCCAACAGATAGAGGAGGTAAGTCTGGATTAGATCTTTCAATGCTACACACAAGATTTTATTTTGAAAAGATTATTATATTATTTCAAAAAGAGAGTAACAGTGAGAAAAGGAGACAGAGATAAAGACAGAGAGCTGATACCTTCTGAGTTTCACTACTCAGATGGCCACTATGGCCAATGCTGGGCCAGGCTGAATCCAGGAGCTTCCTCCAGGTTTCCCACATGGGTAGCAGGTGCCCAAAACTTGGACCGCTTCTGTTGCTTTTTCCAATCCATTTGCAGAGAGCTGTATCAGAAGTGGAACAGCCAGGACTCCAACTGGTGCCCATATGGGAGCTGGTATTGCAGGCAGTGGCTTTGCCCACTTTGCCACAACACCAGGCCCAATAGAAGTATTTCTTGATTACCATATAATAATACTCTGTCCCTTATTTCATCTCATTTGAGGTACATCCATAAGAACCATCAGCTATGGTTTGGAAAGCCACTTTGTTGTCATGGGCTTTGTCGCCTGGTCCTAAATGCTTTTCAGAGAGGCTAGCTTGCTCACTCACTTCCTTTGCTTCTCTGCTCAAATGTTTACATATGAAGACAGTCCTTTTTGACAGCTTTCTGTAACAGAGAATGTGTACCATCTTTTTTTTAAAGATTTATTTATTTATTTTAAAGTCAGAGTTTACACAGAGAGAGAAAGAGAGAGAGGCCTTCCATCCATTGGTTCACTCCCCAAATGGCCACAACGGCTAGAGCTGCACCATTCTGAAGTCAGGAGTCTGGAGATTCTTCCAGGTCTCCCATGCTGGTGCAGGAGTCCAAGGACTTGGGCCATCTTCTACTGCTTTCTCAGGCCATAGCAGAGAGCTGGATCAGAAGTGGAGCATCCAGGACTCGAACCAGTGCCCATATGGGATGCTAGCAAGGCAGGCAGCAGCTTTAACTGCTGTGCCACAGCACCAGCTCTCTGTACCCCCCTTCAGTCTTATTTTGTTTTATTCTGCTAGGAGAACTTTTATTAGTATTTACATGAACATCTGACTCATTTTTTGTTGTTGTTGTTCCTTTTTTTTTTTTTTTTTGACAGGCAGAATTAGTGGAACAAAGACAGAAAGAAAGGTCTTTCTTCTGTTGGGTCACCCCCCAAAAGGCCACCACGGCTGGTGCACTGTGCCAATCCGAAGCCAGGAGCCAGGTGCTTCCTCCTGGTCTCCCATGCGGGTGCAGGGCCCAAACACTTGGGCCATCCTCCACTGCCTCCCAGGCCACAGCAGAGCTGGACTGGAAGAGGAGCAACTGGGACAGAATCGACGCCCCAACCAGGACTACAACCCGGGGTGCCGGTGCCACAGGCAGAGGATTAGCCTTGTGAGCCACAGTGCTAGCCAATGACTCATTAAGTTTTGCATTTATGTTTTGTGTTTTCTTTGCTGGAGTTTAGGCTCCTCTAAAGACAGGTATTTTGATTCATTCCTTTATTTTCAGTATTGCAAATATTGTCTCATGAAGGTCACTCAGAAAGGAGCAATCCAAATCCCATCCCAATTGCAGTAAAGAAGTTTTATATTTGTTGAATCAACCAGAAGTTCATAAGAAAATAACTTTTTGTACTGTTTCTGCTATATAGCTGTATAGGTAACTTCCGTCCACTAGAGGGAAGCATATATTTATGGGAAAACTAGATTCCTTTGAAAAAGTGAACCTATTGGTAATACTTTCCAAATGAAATAATTTGAAAAGAGAAACCCAAATACAAGACTAAGCCTCATTTGTCTACCCAAGCTATTATAAAGAAATATACAGGTATGTTAATATACAGGAATCTCCATGACCTTAACTTCACATCCCATGGTCCTTGAGGAGTATGTGTATTAAACCAGCAAAAGTAATCCTGAAAAGGTCTGCCCCAGGGCAGTAATTGAGGAGTTACACATTGTTTGCAGCTGTGTAAATTGGTTACCTTTTCTGGATTTCAGGTTTGTAGTAAACAGTGCACAGTAAGGACTGCTTTGATTTTTCACCACAGAATTAACCAATTTGGGAAGGTTTGTCCCCAAGAAAAAGCAAAATGAAAGAGCTGTATAAAGACATTCCTGAAAGTGCTGTTATGATGCTGAAGATATAGGAACCTAACCAATGCCAAGAAAGCGGGGATGGTTAACCAGTCTAGAAGTAGTAATTCAATTCCACAAGTAATATAGCAAGGCATTTTCTTACTGAATTAAAAGTGCTTGACTATAGAAAAGTGTTGTAGTGTGTAACATGTTCAGCTGCTGCTTAGGATGGCTAAATCCACAATGGAGTGCCTAGATGGAGTCCTGCATCTACTTCTGATCTAGCTTTCTTGTAACGCACCTGGGAGGGCGGCAGACGATGGCTCAAGTACCTTGATTCCTTCCACTCACATAGGAAACCCAGATGTAGTTTCTAGTTCCTGGCTTTGGCCAGTGCCCAAACCGGCTCTTGTGGGTATTTGGCAAGTGAACCATTAATGGATGATGTGGCGTCCTATATTATGATGTAGTGGTTAATTTGCCTTCTGCAATGCCAGCATCCCATGTGGGTGCCAGTTTTGATTCCCAGCTGCTTCATTCCCCATCCAACCCCTGCTAATGCCACCTGGGAAAGCAGCAGAAGTCAGCCCAAGTGCTTTGGCTCCTGGTTTCAGCTGGTCCAGACCTGGCTTGTAAACTGTTTGGGGAGTTTACCAGCAGATTGGAAGATTCTCTCTCTCTCTCCTCTCTCTCTCTCTCTCTCTCTCCCCCTCCCTCTGTCTTTGTAATTCTGCCTTCAAATAAAACAAATCTTAAGAAATACACCCAATCTTTAGAGGTGAAAAATGGTGAGACAATGCATCTTAGAATTGATGTAGTATTTATGAAACACATGAAAATTCATAATTAAATGGAACTTGCCTGGGAGCTAATTTGCTTCAAACACCAAAGTGTCAAACAATTTGCATTGCCTCAAGAGTGGCAAGGTTCTCATATCATTGCTAGTAGATTCATTTTGAAAATAGGAAGTATAGATATAATGACTAAAGATGATTAAAAGCTGAGATTTAAAATATTTGCTACAATATTTTCCAATGCTGAACTTTCTAGGAAACGGTTCCCTTATTACTATTTTATTTTCAGTTTCAAGGCTCTAATAAAACTGGTGAATGCAGTCAGCATGTGTTGTCTTCCACCTTTCTCCCTGAAGCGCAGATTCAGATACTTGGTATGTGTAGAGTACGCTACATGAAATGTAAAAACAGAGTGACGAAACCTGAAAGCAGACATACTTATTTATTATTTACTAATTTTTAAAGATTTACTTATTTGAAGTCAGAGTATGAAAGATCTCCATGCCACTGGTTCCTTTGCAAAATGGCTGCAACAGCTGGGGCCGGGCCAGGTCCAAGCCTTGATCCTGGAACTCCGTCCTGGTCTCCCATGTGGGTGTCAGGGGACCAAGCACTTGGGCCATCTTGTGCTGTTTTCCCCTGGTGTATTAACACTGTGCTGGATCAGAAATGGAGTAGCAGAGCCTTGAATGGGTGCTCTTAATGGATGCTGGCATCACCGCGGCAGTTTAATCCGTTACACAACACTGGCCCCTAAAGCAGAGATATTTACAATACAAATTACTGTTACATATAGGTACTATGGAGGAAAACACAGGTTAGAAAGGAATTCTGATGCCATTAATTACTTTTGGCCACTGTATTTACTAACAGACTCTGGACATCATGCAGGGGCGCTAACAACCGTAAGGCAAAGTTAATATTGAAGTACAGATGGCTTCAGAACTAGCCATTGCTGCAATTGAGAAGAACGGCGGTGTTGTCACTACAGCCTTCTACGACCCGAGAAGTCTGGGTAAGCTTGCTGTGTGGTCGTTTTCTTCTTTCCCTCTTTGTCTCATTGCCTGCTGCTTTTGAATTAGTTGGTGAAGAGTAACCTTGGTAGTTGTTGTTGGGCTGCAGTATCATGTGGGCTATTATGATGTAATGAGTGAAGTGTGTTGCTGACTGATGGGCCAAGGGGCAGAGAGCCTCTGGTCTCCTCCTCTGCGCTCCAGATTCTGCCGGCACCTCCCCCTCAATACCTCACAGGGTTCTCAAGCCTAGTGTTTCTGGGGTATCTTTTTTCTCTTTCACCTCCATGTGTTCTTGCACACTGAGTAAATGGAGTAAATGACATGCCATTTTCCTGTTTTTTAACCCAAAATGTGGAGTCCTCTGGACTCTTCTTTTATACCCTACACATCCTGTGAGTTCTGTCAGCCTGTCCATGATCGTCCTGCCTCTCCAGCTGCTCTGGCCTGGATGTCTGTGCTCCCTTCTAGCTGGACTCTCTGCTGCCACCCCTGCGTACAGTGGAGTCACACAGCACAGGGCTTCTCTAAGGCATGGACTGTCACTCCTCTGTGCAGAACCTCCGTGGTGTCCATGCCATGCTATGAGGCTGGGTGTAATCTGCACCACCTCCTAGCCCTCCTAATGCTCGCTCTGCTTGTTCAGATCTGTTGCAGGCTGCCTTGGCCTTTCTCCACAGACTGCGCTCCTTACACCTTCACACCTCTGACCCTGCTGTTTCCTCTACCTAAAAATTCTTCTGCCTGTAATCTCCAGGGCTCTGCACCTCATTCTTCCAGGTCTCTGCTTATTAGGGAGATCTTTCCTACCTGTGCTAAACAGAAGATGCACAGGTTCACAGACACACACACACACCACACATACACAGTCATGTCCTATCCCCTTGCCCTACGTGGTGTTTGCCTAGGAGCCCTCACAAGGTGACAAAGTGATATTCTCTGTCTCCTGTTTGTTCTGTGTCTCCCATCTTGATGATAGCGACCTTTGATCACTGTTCTCTCTCTGGCATGGAGAGCAGTGCCTGATGTGTAGTAGAGACTCACTTAAAATTTGTTGAATAAATGAACTGGATTTTTATAAGCTACAGAGGTGAAAACGAAATGGCTAAATGTTTTTACAAGGTCTTGGATTTTCTTATATTCAAATGGGAGTTAAACTTTCCCACTCAAATTGCTCACTGAAATTTTTTAAAGTCGAATATAAAAAAGGAAAAAGGAGTGTATCATAGTCTCTGAATGTCAAAGGTTTGAAACAAAAACACCTTTCATTTCCCTCATAATTGAAAGCTTTCTAGAAATATTCACTTAATACTCTCATTCTAGTTTAGCATAGAGGAACTTTTTTATAGAAAGCTTTTATTTAATAAATATAAATTTCATAAGTAAACTTTTGGACTATAGCAGTTCTTCCCCACATATCCGATCTCCAACCCAAACCATCCTACCTCCTACTCCCTCTCCATCCCATCTTCATTAAGATTCATTTTTAATTATCTTTATATACAGAAGATCAACTCTATACTAAGTTAAGGTGTTCAACAGTTTGCACCCACACACACAACACAACGCATAACAGTACTGTTTGAAGACTAGTTTACCATTAATTCTCATTTACCATTATTTTACATTAAGGACAGAGGTTTAGAGCAGCTTTTCTTTGGTCCCATCATCACAGTTTCGGAGTGAGCTGCCTCAAATACAAAAGGATTGTTTTTTGTGGTATGTAAAAAATCACTGTCATTTTGGAAGGCCTTGTGGCATAGAACATTTTTCAAGTCATTGTCATTACAGAGTTTGGCGTGCTGGTTGTGCAGTAGCTGGCCAGCACCTGGCATCCCTGAGCTGGAGGCTGGGCAAAGTCATCACCCTACTTGGGCCTGGTCCCTGGGCAGCTCTGAAGTCATCCTGGGAGCTGTTCATTAAAAAGCAGTAAAACAAGCCTTATCACAGGCTGACCATCAGTTGTAATTTCCCACCTGAAGAATTACTTCATTGATTTTAGTTTTCTAAGTTATGGAGGAAAATTTTTTAAAGATTTATTTATTATTTGACAGGTGAAGTTACAGTGAGAGTGACAGACAGAGAGAGGATAGAGAAGTCTTCCTTCTGCTGGTTCACCCCAAATGGCTGCAACAGCCAGAGCTGGGCCAGTTGGAAACCAGGAGCAGGAGCTTTCCAGGTCTCCACTTGGATGCAGAGCCCAGCATTGGGCCATTATTGCTTTCCCAGCCATAGCAGAGGCTGGATTGGAAGTGGAGCAGCTGGGACTAGAACCAGCGCCCATATGGGAGGCTTCATTTTCGTAATTCTTGGTCTGACCCTAGCAGGCAGCTTCCAGTTCTCATTCTCGTTTGCTCTGTTGGTATATTGTTGAAACATGAGCTGTGTTAGAGTA